TGTTTCCTGTCCTGTCGCTCTGCATCGGCTGCTCTGCCCCACGATGTGTCCTGACACGTCCTGGGGTGAAGCAGCACAACATACCCAGCTGCTGCTCCCCAGGGCCTGCCAGCCCCTGTGCTCACCTCCTGCTTTTATTCCCCTCCCAAAGGCAGGAGCAAACAAATGGTGCTGAACTGGGGACGCTACAGCGCACCAGGAAGTGCAGGGAAGGGTGGACGTGGCCCTGGAACGGGGTCCCCCTGCTCACAGCTGCACTGTTGCCCCACAGCAGAGCTCCAACACCCTCCTGCCTGCAGAGAGGATGGATGGAACCCCCTCTCCTGAAGAGGGGCAGGTGCTGCAGTCCTGGATCCTGTGTTGGCCTCTTCTCCCAAGTGAATAATGACAGGAATAGAGGAAATGGCCTGAAGTTGTGCCAGGGAGGGTTTACACTGGATATTAGGAAGAATTTCTTAACCAAGAGTAGTCAGGTGCTGGATCAGGCTGCTCAGGGAGGCGGTGGAGTCATCATCCCTGGAGATACTCAAGAAACATGTAGATGTGGCACTTCAGGGCACACACACATGCTCCTTGGCATGTGTCACTGTGGCTGGCATTGGCCTGGTTTTGCAGGGAGCAGCCTGAACACTGAAGGGCAAAACCCAAACTCCTGTTCCTACCCACACCCTGGACCATTTTTCACTGATTTCAGTAGTTTTGAACCAGGGCTCAATTCTGCTCGCACCACAATGTTTGCTTTGATCTGAAGCCTGTATCAAATCAGTGACTGTGGAGCAGGCTGAGAGTCCTCACGCTGCTCCTTCAAGAGCACAAGATGCCCACAGCATTGGTGCCTTTGCCTCCAAGCAAAATAAAATAAGGTTCACCCCCAACATGGCCCTCCAGGAGACTTGTGCCAAGGACTGACTTAAAAGCACAGTGGATGATATGGAGACAAGACTGCAAAAGTGCTGCCCAGAGGGCAAAAATAGGACAGAAGGTCTCATGTCTCATTTGAAACAGGATGCAAATATCCTCTTGTCTGTGTCTAGTTAGACAATGATTTGGTTCCTATTACACATATGTATGAGCTCATCTCTTCTGGATTTAGATGCATAACCTTTCAATAATCTCTAAATCAACCGTGTGCATTTTAAGTGGAGCTGCAGGTTTTTTTGTGCAAGCTGAAGCTGAGGAGTCCTGTTCTGTCCCCAGACTATGCCTGGCTGAGCTCTGCTCCGAGGGGGGAGCAGCGGAAACCTGATTTTGAAGAAGACATAAAGGGTTGAACCCATTTGTTTTTAAAGTCTGTACTTAGTCACTCCGGAAAACAGCCTTTAGGAACACCTGTCACAAGCAGACTTAAAAAAAATGTACCCATCTCATGTCTTCCTGCAGAGCTGTGAGCTGTTGTTCCCAGTCCTTGCTTTTCTCCAAACAAAGATGGCATCATTCACTTTTATCAAGATGCTGCCTAAATTCCCTTTTCCTTTACATTCCTTCTGCTAATGATGTTTCTTTCCTAAAGCTGACTTGGCATCAATTTAACATTCTTTCCCAGGCTTTGTATGAAAGATAAATGCAGCTGTGCTCACACTCTGCTAGCCTGATTTCACCTGAGCTCTGAACTCGTGTCACCCAAGCGCCGTGGACTGATCTGAAGTGACAAGAGCAAAGATGAAAACAAAACCTGGGTTTTCTGGTAAAACGCCCTTCTCAGAGATCTTTAGATTTTCTTCTTGCCTTAGCAACGAGGAGTTATTTCCCACAGGTGAGCAGAAGGGCAGAGTGGTTCTCTAAGTGGTGTTGCAGTAATTAACAATAGTGTAATTGGGGAGGGTTCTGCCTTGCTGGGCACAGCAGCCAGCAGGGTCGCTCGTGATGCCCCATGAGCTGCAGTTCCTTTCTCTGGGAAAGGGCACAGCTTTCAGCTTGGCTGCTCAGCTCTTGTCCAACAGGAACTACTAGGCAAGGCATCCTCTAGGGAAGGGGAAATCTAACTCAAAGTCTGCAGGATTCATGGCGTTTCACACTGGGGTTCCAAGGCTTCCTGGCAGCTGAGCTCACCCGGAGGAGAGGAACTGATTGCCCTTATTTCCAGCACCAGGTTGGTGGATTAAATTACTTCTTTGGGGGATCACACCCCAGCACAGAGCAGTGATGGCTGGCTGCCCATGCAGGGAAGCCACAGCCCCTGGTGGTGCTGAGGTTTTGCTGTTAGCTGCAAAATTTCAGCTCCCCTCCCTACAGTGCAGTGATTTGTCTGCGTGGGGAGGTGGCTGAGCAGCTGCAAAGGGCAGGGCTTCCATGGGGCTGGGGTGAGCGTTAGGAAAAGCTTCCTAATGGGCTGGAGGATAAATACTCCATCTGAAGCTATTCTTGCCAAGGTGGGAATGATAGCTGGAGTTTCAATTTGAAAGATTCCCATATAATTTTTAGAGAGTGGGCCCCACAAATCATGTGCACTCCCCTGGCTGAAGGAAACCCCTGAAATGAGGGTCCCTGCGGGTCACGGCTGTGCCAGCTGCAGCGGGCGCTGGGCACGTGGCACTGCTGCTCTCTGCCCCCCAGGCTCATACAATAACTAAGACTTGGGTGGCCTCTACAGAAGGGAAACCCAGGAAAATCTTTCTGGACATGTCCTGCTCCCATGAAGGGCGTTGCTTTGCAACTTACGGAGAAGGTATTCCGAGCTGTCGTGGTCATAGTCGTTGTCTTCAGGGAAGTGGTTGATTCGGAAGCAGTGTCCTCTGTAGATGCCTAAGTGAAAAAGCAAACATAACACATAAACAACAGAACCAGGTAAATGTGCTTCTGCCAGCCCTGCTTTTCCTTTTCTTTTCCTCCCAGGTTGTATATTACAAATATATATATTATGTAAATTACTCTCCTCTAAGTTGGCCATTGATTTTTTTTTTTCAATAAATCATCTCTAAGGTCACAAATTTTGGGCAGTTTGGGCTGAAGCGTCATTGAAGGAAGGGAGAGCCAACGTGCCTGGGCTCTTGTCTTCAGTCTGCCACTAATATAATTCTCTGGAGCTTTAAAATCTCTCTGTGCTTCACTTTATCAGTGCTACGCTTATCATACAAGTGTACCAAGCTTGCAAGGCTTCTATTTGTTCCTAGAGTGACTGTTGTCTGGGTCCCCCTCCATGGCTGGACCAAAGCTGGGTGCCAGCCCAGTGCCCATCACCCCTCCTCTCTTGTCCCCAGCGAAGTGTTTCCCTCACCAGACCTGGTAAATGCTGAACTGTCTGAGGCCTCTTCAATTACTCTCTAGGTGTGGAAAACAAGTCCATAAATCAAATCTCTTCCTGCTGCAGTTTAAACGTGTGTGTTCCCCCCAAGGTTGGGTCAGCTTTTAATGGCATATTTGTTTAGTTAGCTGGGAGCCTGTGCAGTGAGTCTGGGCATGAGTGTGCACTCTGAATCCCTGAAGGAACAACATCAGAGTTGGTTGGATGAACCCCTCGCTCCACTGAACAAGATGAAGTTCAGCACTTTGTTCACCTGGGTATAGCTTTAAATTAGCATTTTGTGTCATTCCCTATCCTGGGTATCCATAGGTACATCCAGGTGGGCAGGTGAGACCCCTGAGCAAGCTGCACAGGGACCTCTCTCCAGAGAGCTCCCTGTGGGGTGGGGCCCTGAGGGCTGATTCTGCCTTGGTGCTTTAATTATCTATTAACCAGCACCGTCCTGCTCAGCAACAGACCTCACCCAGCATGGGGTGTCCTCTGCACAGGAGTGTTGGTGCCTCCAGCTCGAGCTGGCAGAAGGATTTAAGAACCATCAGTGAATCCTGCTTTAACAGGAGAGTGGCTGCAGCCTGCAGGATAGAAATGTGGATTTATTTCATTACCTATTACCAGTGATTACAAAGATCTCCAAAGAACTACTAATCCAGAGAATTTCAATTGCACCCTGTGAGTGTTAACTGCAGGTTTGCTACTACAGTGCTTTTAATTTTGCCAGTAAATGATGTACCTGCTCTAATTGTGGGAATGGCTCAGGCTTTCTCTGCTCAGCACTTCAAAGGCTGTGAACAAGAAGTAAGTGGCTCTTGTCACATCTGGAAGTGACACACCTGTCCTGTCTGCCAGGACAAGAGCCTTGCTCCTGCTACATGTGTTTGTCCATGCATCCCTCTGCTACCAGCTGGTCTGCTGTTCCTGATGGTAAAATTCAGATTTTAAAGATCCTAGCACTTATTTTCATGGCAGTTCACTAAATCACTCCCAGAGACTCAACTAGGAGCCAAGAAGCTTGCAAGACTGACAGGTTCCTCAAGCCTCTTGTGTTTGCAGCACTGACAGATTGATGGTTTTGGCCTCTGTAGAATGGCCTTAAGTTATTAAATTTCTGAATGAAATGGGCCCTTCAGCAGAACATTCTCTTACAGAGACCAAGAGGGCAACCCTTCCACTGCAGGACTGAAACATGTCAGCAGGACAGGCTGGGTTGGTGTCAGCAGTGTCTGGGCTTCTCCTCTTGTAGGGTTGGAGACCTTAATTTCCTGGTGCTTATGTCTGGAGCATTTCACATGACAGAGTATTAGCAACTCTTGCAGAGGTTAAAAAAAGAGGATAATTAGCCTCAAAAAGAAAATTATAGGGGCTTGAGAGTTCCTTTCTATTTCCAATTCTTAAGGATACTGAGATCAGTCATTTTGGCCAAGTTTTTACAGAAATAGCAAATGGCTGTAAAATTTGGACCTGTTTCAAAGCCTGGGAATCCCAAATATTCTTCCCAATATTTTTTGCTGTAGTTCAGATCATGGGTATCAGTTCAGAGTCCTCTCTAGTGTCTACAGTATTTGATAGCTAAGAACAGCAGACTGGATAAATTTTTTCCATAAACTTAATAGGTCTCATATAACTCAGCAGCAGTTTATTAAACTCTCAGTGAGGCTTGAAGTTGCTGTCAAGAGCTCTGGTGATCTACAGGGTATTGAGGCCTCTTTTAATCCATGAAGTATCAGAAAGTTTTGCTTTTATTTATAATGATGGGCTTTGAAACTCAGACTTGGGAAAAATCAGAACTAGCTGGGTGGAAGCTGTTGAAGTGGTGGTCAGCTTTAAAAGCACAGCAGCAGAGTGTGACTTGTCATTAAACACAAAAAACAGAACCAAACCAAACCAGATTTGGTGAAATACCAGCTCTGTGCTCTAGCATGTAAAACAATGCAAAAAAAAATAAACCCCATGAATCAGAAGAGGTGGCAGAAAAGGAAACACCTCAGCTGAACTCAGTGACAACCATTCTGCAGCATCTGTTCAAGACCTGAACTCCTTGAAGCTCTTCTCAAAGGCTTCACAGAGGATGCCTTGAAGAAATATGGAGCCAAGTGTGGCCCCTGGTCCGTACCCAGGAAGGCCCATATGGGCTGTTTTCCACACCAGGATCTGACATGGAAGAGAAATTATTTTTTCTTTGCCTGAGTGTGATGATGTGGTCCCTTATACCCTTTGGAGGGGAAGATGGAATATTTAACTCTACTTCTGTACCCACTAGAGAGAGAGAAACTGCAATCACTGCCTAACAGATACTAAAATATTGAGCAGCACTTCTGGATACCTCTTGAGAGTAACATAATATCCCACTGAGATGCTGGCAGTATTGCTCCTTTCTCTGAATGATTACTGATAGTTTTAAATTATGCTTTTAGAAATACAAACATTATCATGCCTTTTTCTCATAATCATAACAACTTTGTTCTGAGTTTTGAGCCATGACTTCAGGTTAGTGATAATGAAGAGGTGAATTTTATGAAGTGTTGCTGAGGGGGTAGGAACATTTTTTCCCCACTGGTTGCAGAGGACTTAGCTGGCATTTAAAAACTAAAAATTGTTTCTGGCTTGGTTTTACTTTGTGTTCAAGGGCTTCTCCTACAAGGTTAGTGTTTCTTAATCTCACTAAATGTTGTTCAGATAACTATAATTAGAGTGTGATGTACTCAGATAATATGATGAGGGAACTGTAGTGCCTAAGTGAGGATTAAGCTTTGTTTTGGGGTTTGAGATCTCAAAGCACATAGAGTTTTCAACAGTAAATCAAAGCAGTGATGCCAAATTCTGATTACATGCTACCTTCCTCTTGTTCTTTCTCAAATAATCCTTTAATAAGCCTGCCTGTATCACTGCAGAACTGTTCACTGGGTTTGTATTTTTAGATGACTGAGATGGCTAATGCTGTAGGATGCAAATGCTCGTTAACCTGGTCTGTAGCCGTGCATTTCAGGATCCTGCTGGTGGTGGCCACAACAGCAGCCATTTCTTTGAAATGGCCACTTCCCGTGGTTAGTATTTGTCAACAACAACCTTCCCTGATGCCCTGGAAGTGTCTGCACAAATCAGCACTGGAAGATAGAGCACTTAAATGTCTGATAACATTAGTCAAGGCAGGCTGTACTTTTGTTTTCTCACCCTCCTAATCCTGAAAACTATACACAACGAGATCTTTCCATAACATTGGTGTTCTGTTGTCATTTAAATAGGTTTCCACCATGGAAGATGCTAGCAGCTTTGCAGCAGAGGACCTTGTCTACAGGGTACTTCTGTCAATAGCAATTTTAGTCTCCTAGCTGTGAGCAGGAGCTTACGGGAGGCGATATCTGATAGCAGTGGGAGACACATGAGGATGGATGGGCCAAGCTGCTGCCTCCTCCTCCACCAGCAGCTTCTGCACAGCTACTGCTTGATTAACTATTTCATCTACCAGCCCTCTCAACCACCTTTCTGGGTGAGACTTTGAAGTAAAACATGGGTTTGGGGGCTTGGTGAGCAGCCTTTCTTGCTTTCTCATGGGACTCCAGACATTTGCCACCCCCTTGGATCGAACCCTGCTCTGCCAAAGTGCCACATGCTTGTAGCTCTCAAGCAGCTACAGACACTTGGTGCACATGTGCACACTATTAATAGTCAGGCAGGGTTTGCTCCTGGGGGGGGTTCTAGTGGTGGAGCCAGTGCTATGAATGCCAGCAGCAGAGGCTACAGCAGTTTCCTGTGGGCAGGTAAACACACAGCATCACCCTCCAGCCCCAAATCCCACTTACCAGCTGATTCCTTTCTGGCAAATGTGGGTCTTCTGGGATCATAGAATCATAGAACTATTCAGGTTGGAAAAGACCCTCGGGATCACTGAGTCCAACCATCATCCCTACTCTACAAAGATCTCCCCTAAACCATCTCCACCAACACCACATCCAAACGACCCTTAAACACACCCAGGGATGGTGACTCAGCCACCTCCCTGGGCAGCCTGTTCCAGTCTCTAACCATTCTTGCTGTGAACATTTTTTTTCCTAATGTCCAGTCTAAACCTGCCCTGTTGCAGCTCGAAGCTATTCCCTCTTACTCTGTCAAGATGGTCAGATGGTTTGAGGAGGTGGAAGGAAATGATTTTCGAGATCATTTGACAGCAAGTGCTTGCAGACACAGGGAACACAAGTTGAACTGACTGGGTATTAACCACCGGGCAATTAGAGGAACCACGGAACTCTGGCCTGGTGGCTCTGCCTGCTGCAGCTGCTCTGTGATGAGATGCTGGGCTTCAGTTCCAGAGACAACTATTAGCCTGATTTACTGGAAAACTTGAACATGACTTTAAGTGACAAGTTTTCTGACTCGATCAGCCCAGAGAAGGCTGACTGACAGATCCCAGCCCAGGACCAGACGAGCAGTGGGACCTGGGCTGTCGTGCAGCAGCTGCCTGGACACGGTGTCCATCTGAGCATGCCACGTGGGATGGGTTTCCTTA